ACATTAAGAAGCGACACCCCCCATACCGGCGTCCATTACTGGATGTAAGGAGTTTTGACCGATGCTCATATGTGCGTTGGATTTTGCTGGCCCTCTATAAGCTAGCCGAACCGCATTTGGGTTGTGGAGAGCTGCCAGCAGCCTGGATACTGGTTTTTGGGGTCTACATAGGGCTTAGAGGGGGTACGCCAAGGTATATCAGGAACATGTGGAAATCGTATAGGACTGAGAGTTTCTCTTCGTCTGGCTACTTCAGCATGCTGGCTACGAGATCATGACGCGTAATCTGAAGCTGATGGGCATCGAAAGTTGTAGCTACTACTAGCAACTGGCATCTCCACCACCCGCATCACCGCCCCCCCCACCACCACCGCCATCACCGGCACCACAGCTTCAACTCCGGCTGCTGTTACAGCCGCTACCACCCCTACAACCCCCACCAGCAGCCCCCGCACCATAGCTACTAGCAGTATTCTCGTCTCGCACCATACTAAAGCGCATGGAGTGCTTGCCGAGTGCCTGCCTGCATATTCAGAGGCCAACATTGCGTGGACTCTTGGCATCCTTTCAAGGCAAGCCTTACAACAGAGACTGAAAAAAGGTCAGCATTGGGAGGTGCCATTCATAGTAGTCATTGCGCCACGAGAACGAGGAGCACAGAGAAAGTAGCAATGGCCATCATGCAAGCAGTAATGAAAAGGAGTAATAGCACGAATGATGTGGTAACTGCAGACACTTCAATACCATGATCCTATAGCTGGGACAAATCTTACCGTTTGGTGGGAGCAAGGGTGCTTTGGGATACATGCTTCAGCTGTGTTTTTCACCCGGTGTGAACACTCCACTGGCCTTTGGAAGTCAAATTCTGGCTCTTAAGATTGCGAGATCAATCGCTCTACCTCATATAGCTCGTTGCAGCAATGTTGGCCCTCTAGTCATTGCGGTTTTGGATAGGCTGTGCCAAGTGTGGCAGAAGGGCCAAGTCGTTCGCAGAAGGGCCAAGTCGTTCGCAGACAATTGGCCTGGGTAGGTCGCGAGGTGAAGAAGATGACGCTGAAGGACAGTCCCGGCGGCTGTGGCTGCTGCTCCTGCTGCTACTGCTTAGTCGGGGCATAAGCTCTTCGAGGGATATGCTGCGACATAATATTATACTGTACTATGATATACTGCATTATCTTAACATATCGTATATCATACTATACTGTAAAGCAGCAAGTTGGTGTGGTGGGCCTTCAAGCTGTTTCTGCCGTCGCCAACACAGCTTGCCGGCCTGGCTTGTGCTAATTCAGGTTTAGGGTTTCGGGTTTCGGGGTTAGGGTTTAGGGAGCCTGAGAGCATTAAGCCTCATACGCAAGCTGTAAAGTGTCAGCTGAAAGACCCCAACAAGGGATAATCTATTGTAATATCTTATCACGACCTATAATATGCTATATGCTATTATATACCATAATATACAAGAATATATTATGCTAGAATATAGTATCATATACCATAATATATTGCTACATAAATGATTGTTCCCACCTCCAGCAGCGTCACTGGTGTCGACAACTCTTGGCACAGACTTGAGGAGCTCGAGACTGAAATCGACAGACTTTACACTGCCAAGGCATGCGGCCTTTTTCTGCCAAAGTACTAGTTAGGGTTTAGGGTTCAGGGTTAAGGGTAGAGTATAGTAGAGTAGAGTAGAGTAGAGTAAGGTATAGTATTATATGTTATATTTGGGCATAATATAGTATGTCGCAGTACAATATATTATTCTGTGAAATTATATCGCAGGACAATATGCTGTATTTTAGTATGTGATAGTGTATGATAGTATATGATAGTGTATTATAGTATGATGTGCTATAATTTACCTTAATATACGATCATATAGAAGCAACAGTACAAGTGTTACTGTCACGCTAATATCAAAAGTACTAGTATTCATAGCACTAATAGTCGCAGCAGTCATAGTAGTAATATCAGCAATAGTAAAACCACCAACCAACAATACCAGGAATGGTAATGCTAACGTTACTGAGGCTTTTTGACTTCCAGGTGGCTTGCAAGGTTCCTTTGTTTTCCACTTTTCCGTTCTCCCGATATATCCCGTAGATAACCCTATATAATCCCTATTTAACCCCTAGAGTGAACGTGCAGCACCCTTTGTGCCTCAAAGTAGCACAGCCCTGGTGAGGGTGGCTGTCGCAGCTAAGCCTGTCCAGTTCAAAGCGCAAGAAGTGCATTCCCCTATAACATAGTACAATAGAGAGAGAGAGAGAGACACCAAGTAAGGACAAGGGTTGCAGAAGTTGCTAAGTTGCTAAACTAAGGGCCCCCCTTTTCTTCAACCAAAATGACACCCCTCAAAACAGTTTCACTAGTCCCTATGCCAACTGAGCATGAAAGAAAGAGCGAGAGAGAGAGAGAGATATATGTATATACATATATATATAGT